TGTGTGTGTGTGTGTGTGTGTTGTTGTTGTTTGTGTGTGTGTGTGTGTGTGTGTGTGTGTGTGTGTGTGTGTGTGTGTGTGTGTGTGTGTGTGTGTGTGTGTGTGTGTTTGTTTGTGTATACGAAGATATATGTACAAGCCTGTGGGTATACGCCCATATTTGTATTTGTCTGTGATTTATGAATATTTACATATATTTACATATAATATCGGCATTTTTTGAAGCACTACATTGAAGTCATACGCACATATGTGTTTTCTTTTATAACTTCTAACAAATTTACAATTGTTATATCACTCCACGTATAAACATATAGATGCGAGCAATATTCTGCGTTTTTTAAATTATAGTTGCTCACCTTTGTGAAATTCCAACTGCTTGTGAAAAACTGGACAGACACCCATCAGTGTCTTAGCTACGTCCTTCTGTTTGACCTTTGATTTGAGGCCTAGCTCTGCACACTTTGGAGGTCTCGGTGGAGTTCGTATATACTTTTCAACAGTACTCTGTCCTTCCACCTGATGATATGATTGCTCTTCGATAAGCTGATTCTGCCCCTCATAATCTTCGTTGCGTTTGCGCCACTGGTCCAAGTTATTGTTTTCAAACACCACCCCATCTGTGTTAGAGCCATCGTCATCTCTTATATTGCGGACGGCTATAGAATCATCTTGCTTACCATTGACTTGATCGGGATATTTAAGGGCGCCCATTGACAGGTCCTCAATAGCACTGTTGAGTTCTCCGCGCACGTCAGTGATGTCTTTCGCCGCAAACCAGTCTTTGACACTTGATTCGGTCTTGGATAGCATGTCAGCAAACCCCAAATCCCCGGTATTTTCTTCGTTATTATACGAGAAGGTGCTGGGGTTGGCCTGTTGCCTGCTTGTTTTGTATGCGTGTAGTGTGACTAATATGAATACGACTACCACCATGAGAGTGTTGCGACTACAGCATAACCTTCGACTTGATTTAACCATGATGCTGTGTAGTATTACTCTCCCTTCACAGTTTGAGATCAATATCCACCCCGATGTGTTTTTTTTAAGTATATTGCTATATCTGTATATCTGTTCACTCTCTTTTGTTCACTGTTTTGCATTTGACATATATGTAAAAGTACACGGATAGTTATAGCTTTTCACTGTAGCAATCTGAGAGAGCCAGGGACTCTGGGGCGTCTCAGCTTTGATCACTGATGTCTGATGGCCAGTCACCAACGGCCACTGTAACTTGCAAGTCACAAACTGGCATGATGCAAAGATGAAGAAAGATGTCATCAAAATAACGAATGTGTTTATATTTATTTTCAAAAAGAAATGGTTCAAAAAAAAATGCATCCAAATTGGAGTTAGATTTTGTTTTTGTTTTTGTTGAAGATTCAAAACCCGTCTCCCTATTGAACCATACGTAGTTTCCAAGGGTTACGAAGTGGATCTTAATTTTCTACGCTTCCCATTGGTTCACTCTCTCTCCTCACTTTCTTAGACTCTCCAATCTACATACTAAATAAATACTACAGTAAATACAAAGTAGTAGAAGTACACAAGATTAAAAGTAGTAAGTAGTAAGTAGTAACTAGAGTAAGTCATAGCCTTCAAAATTATGAGTATATTGTAAATAGAGAGAAGGTTCAGACTTCAGACTTCAGATTTCAGACTGGTGAGTGGTTAGTTGGTGACTGCAGGTGAGTGCCTGTACAAAACCATTTAGTAGCCTACAATAGCGGATGCCGGATAAGACAGCCGACAAAATTAAATGTTTAAATATGTCCCTCCCAGTCTGTCACACTCCCGTCTTCCGCACCCCCGCACCCCCTTACACCCGGGGCCGTGGCCCGCAGTGCCCCGCGCTACGTTTTCGTTTTTGTCTTTGTTTCAGGTTTCTATCCCCCACCAGAGAGAGCCCGGCAATTTTTTCAGATTTATTATTCTGTGTACAATCCATATGTACAATTGTATTTCCGCTCTGATATTCATGGCCAACTTGGACCTGATGAATACGTCCGTTCTCCCTCATATTTCTCTATGACCATGCTCTAAATATTATGTGTACACTCCATATGTACAGTTGCATATGCTACACTTTATCCATGATGGGATTGATGGCCAACTTGGAATTGATGAATACGTCTATTCTCATAGTTTCACTTTTCATTGTTGTAGAAAGTCATGCTCTATAAAACTATTGCATGCAAATTTTTATAAAGAAGTATATTACTACGTATTAAAAACTCTATGCATAGAGAGGGAACTATGAAAATAAATATGATAAAAATATATTGTAATCATCCTCCCACCCCCCACTGTCCCCAGTCCCAGGCTTCGCCATGCATACATGTATTTACACTCTGTGATTGACTGACCGTGCAAGAGGAGACTGAGAGAGTGTGTGTAGTATGTAGACAGCATTCAGTTACTGAAGATTTTTTTCTATTTTTTTTTGTTTTTAGTTTGGTGCTGGAAACAGTAGCAGAGTATGCTACTATATTCACAGCCAAACATTTAAAGAGTCGCTTTCACATGAAAGACAGAAAACGTGCATCCACACATAGCTTTGCGACAGCTGGAAAGTCATAAGGAACCCGTAGTTACTTCTAAATAAAAAAATAGATGACTGGAGAGGAGTGAAGTATATGTATTGGATTTCTGCAGAGAAAAAAAATTGTCCGATGGCGACGATTTTTCACTTTCAATCACATAAACATGCGCGTTATAAATTCGATAGAAGTCTTGTGAACTTTGTATGACCATCGAGTTACATTTGTCTCCCTCTAAGTTATAGTTCATTGAGCGTTGGTGGTACTATTCGACGATATTCATAGTTTTCTTCCTACACCATCCATTAAAACTAAAAGGGTGTCACGATCGAACTACATTATGTTGCCCACCCCTCGGTGGTAATATTCTCAGCTTTCTGAACTAATCATCAAATAACGCAGAACACGATCCATAAGTTCTATTTTGATGGCGTAATGTTTAGTTGTTATTTAGGGTTTAGTCACTACATGCTAGTTTCATCGCTGTTTGTACGATTATATCATCCTGTGTCAGTAAGCATTATTTCTTCGAGCTCAAATTGAACCAGAAATTAAAAAAAATTCGTTCATTATTTTTTTGCAACATATAAATTTGTATTCTTCACACACAACCCCGAAATTGCTACAAGTAAGATGTGCAGTGGATCTCATCAGATGTATCTACATATGTGAATGTATTTGGGAACGAGTGATATCATTCGCAGTGACACAGAATCCGGCCTGTTGTGGCATATATGAGATTCTGATACTCGGCAGCGAGCAGGGAAGGTGTAGATTCGTGAGCAATCATGTATATATGATGATATAACCTATCTCTATTTCACAAGTATAGCATGTTCTGTGCCTTGTAAACTTATAAAAATGAACATAGCAGCCATTGATACCATACTTTTACCAAATTTAGCAGGCGAGGCAGTGAGCCCAAAATTTGATTAGCAACAGACTGCTTATATATTCACTGAACTCTCACACTCGTCAGTGTGTATATTTATATAAAGATCTCATACTGCGAAATACCCACCGATCGAAAATCCGCAGTTTTTCAAGCAAAACCGTTCGACGTATTAAAATTCTAAAACTGAGTCGTGTCCAACACAGACGAATTAGTAACGGACACGTCTTACTTTATATACCTCCACTACCTATAACATCGCTATGAATGATACTAATAAGTATCCTCTACATGCAGTATGCACCTGAACAGATTACGTTAAGAAAATTGACATCTTGCACAGTATTTTACTCGTAAAAACAATGCGTGTATGAGTCAAATTATTTATGTTGATGACTTTCAGAACAATATGACTCATCGCACTTCAGTATTATCTTTTAAACAGCGACTGATAATAAAGTGATAACAGCAAAATTAATACATAAAACGGATTGCGGAACAACATTGGTCTCATTGATCATTGACGACGGATGTGTGTATTTGAGTCAATCACGTTTGAGTTTATTATCTGATACAAGGGTACAATACATCACTACGCTCCTGTGAAACATGACCACCCCTCTCCCCCCAGAGCTTAAGCCGGTCAAAAAGTTCATCGACCGAGCGAACGAATTTCAAGCGAGTGGAGATCATGTCGTGAGCTATTACTGTAAGTGGTAATACAACCGTCCATGTAGATCAACGTGGACTGAGAAAAATGTTATGACAGACAATGCACGATCATCTGCTATATTAGTATATGCATTTCAATTTACTTTATGTAGCCTTTGTATATACTGTCATATAAATGCATGTATGAATATATGTATATACATTTATAT